TTGATGTTCCATTGCCTTTACCATTTGATGATCCTATTTCTTATATTGAAAATTGCACTCCAGATCCCATTCCTTCTAATGATCCTATTCCTTTTACTGACCCTTCCACTGCATTACAAGATGACATTCAGCCTAACCTAGAGAGTCAACCTTTAGAACCTGAAATCTAGACACAACCTGATTCTTTACCTGCATCATCCTCCATTCCTAAAAGACAAAGTACTAGGACAAAATCAAAACCTGCTTGGTTGAATGACTTTGTCACAAATTTTAGCTTTACAAGTCCATCATCTCCTACTGTTATTACTTCTCAGTCACAGTGTTTGGACCCTTCCCCTTATACACCTCCCACATATCCATATACATCCAATTCTATTTTTTCTCATGCATATACGCAATTTTTGGGCAATGTACCTCAATTTCAAGAACCTAAATCCTATAAACAAGCTAATGGTCAGAAGGAATGGGTTGATGCAATGAATAAGGAGTTGGCTGCCTTAGAACAGAATGAAACATGGGAATTGACTACATTACCTATTGGAAAAAAAACCATGGGCTCAAAGTGGGTATATAAGGTCAAATTAAATCCAGATGGGAGTGTGGAAAGATGCAAAGCTAGGCTTGTAGGTAAGGGTTATAATCAAGTGGAGGGGGTTGACTATTTTGATAGCTTTTCACCTGTTGCAAAGATAGTTACTATCGGAATTTTTATGGTGATTGCAACTACTAAACAATGGCCTATCCATAAGCTTGACATCAATAATGCCTTTTTACATGGCTATATTGATGAAGAAGTCTATATGACTCCACCAGAAGGATATATAAAGGCTAAACAGGGTGAAGTGTGCAAGCTTAAAATGTCTTTGTATGGGCTTAAGCAAGCATCACGACAGTGGAATTCAGAATTTTGCTCAAAGTTAAAGGGTTATGGCTTTGTTCAATCTTCTCACGATCACTGCCTTTTTATTAGAAAGTCAAATCAATCCTTCTTAGCTCTCCTGGTTTATGCTGATGATGTTTTAATTACAGGTGATAATGAGAATGATATTATTAAGGTGAAATAGTTTTTAGACTTTACTTTTACCATTAAAGGCTTGGGTTATGCCAAGTACTTTCTTGGTATTGAAATTGCTAGAAATTTAGAAGGAACCTACTTAAGTCAAAGGAAGTATACCTTGGACTTGATTAAGGGTGCAGGGCTTTTAGGTGCTAAGCCAACAGCCACCCCATTGCCTAAAGGATTGGTGGAAAGGTTGCTGTATTTGAATTTTACAAGACCAGATATTACTTTTGCAATTCAACAACTTAGTCAATTTGTTGCTGCCTCAACCATGGATCATTGGAATGTTGTCTTACATGTCCTTAAGTATCTGAAAGGTTCTCCAGCTAAAGGATTATTTTACTCTGTTGATAATTCATTGAAACTTGAAGCTTACTGTGATGCAGATTGGGCTTCATGCCCTGATTCTAGACGTTCCTTGACTGGTTATTGTGTTTATATTGGTTCAATATTGGGTTTTTGGAAAACCAAGAAACAAACCACAGTCTCAAGGTCTTCTGCAGAGGCTGAGTATATGAGTCTTGCCTCAACAGTGTGTGAAATTCAATGGTGCACTTATATTCTCAATGATTTTCACATCCCACTTCAGCTTCCTATAAACTTGTGGTTGATAATTAGGCTGCACTTCACATAGTAGTTAACCTTGTTTTTCATGAAAGAACCAAACACCTTGAGATTGACTGCCACTTGGTGCGTGAAAAATTGAAGGCTGGATTGGTTTCTCCTCAACACATCTCTACACATCAGCAGCTGGCAAATTTATTCACTAAATCTCTTTCAAGCCCTTAGTTTTTCAAGTTACTATCCAAGTTGGGCATGACTGAGCTCAATCCTGCTCCAACTTGAGGGGGGATGTACAGCTGCTGTAATTTTAGTGTAGCTCATTTAGTTAGTTATTTATTCTGTTAAGTGAGTTAGAGAATTAGTTAGTTAGTTTTAATGAGCTGGCATTTTGTTATTATTCTTTCTGTTATTCTTTCTGTTAGTTACAAAGTTTGTTATTCTTTCTGTTAGTCTCTCGTTTTGTATATAAGCTCATGTAAGCTACTATTAGTAGCAGGTTTTTTTGATGAATGAGAAGTTTCTCTTCTTCTTTTCTTCTGGTTTCGAACTGTTCACAATCAATCTCTCCCTTAATATAGTATACATGTTCAGAGGGTGGACCCAGAAGAACGTGCCATTGGTGATCTTGTTAGATGATTCATTTTCTTCTTATGTTCCAAATAATCCAGAAGAATGCAGTAAATCAAACTCAGATGGTTTGGATCAAAAGTACACATCAAACTTCGCCTTAGAGATTAATGTTGCTTGACTGATATTCTATATACACTAATATGCAATGGAATGGTAGTCTTGGACAACAAAACTTAGATCTCATTGAGAAGTCACCGTAACGGCTTAATCCCCATACGTTCTAGTTGACTAATCGACCTTGAGAGTGATTCATGGCTGGAATTTTGTGGATATGGATTGGAATTAGGCCAAAAATATAATTGATGCATCGGTAAATGGGTTGGGCCCTTATTTGGATTTCGGAATATAATGAGTGGAAAGCGGATGCTCTGTTTTTCTCTCTGAACAAAGCATAGGTCTAAGTGAGTGAGAGTGAGAACATGAGAAAAAAATGGTTTCAGTATGGGTAATGAATGATGAGGGTATTATTTGTCTTGTTGTTTTCATTGAATTTTTGTTAGTATTTATTTAGATATTTGGCAGGATGGGTAATGAATGGTGAGATGCTGTTGTTTGTAGTCTTTGCCAGGGACATGTTCGAAGCTCCACCTGTTAGAGCCATTGTTGCTGTATTGTGTTTTGGATTCTTTGGCACGGTCATGCTCAAAACTCCACCGAGCAGAGTCATACTCAAAATTATATCCGACGGAGACTTTACCATGGTCAGGTTCAAAGCTGCATCTACGATAATCCTGTTTTTTTAAATGCCACTATATTTTAAATTAACAGCGGAATTGAACATCGACGTGATAGCATGTTTGATTGGATGAGAGAGGGGAAGGAGGGAGATGGCCGAGAGAAATGAAAATGAAAATAAAATAAAAAGGTTTTTATAGTTCAGTGCACCTCTAGAAATCTTATCTCCACCGCACAGGTGGAGCGAATCCTGACCATGGATGGATCGATGCTAAATCCATAACTAGGATGCGATTTATGAGGGGCTACTAGTAGAATAAGAGGGGGCTATCATTTCAGATTTTTGAGGGGAGTGCATTCAACTTATCCCTAAAATTGAATGGAAATTAATGAGGGCGGATTTGGCCCTCCAATGATATTATGACACATGGTACCTCGGAACAAATAGGTGACACCCGAAATCACTTTGGCAACAACTTGCCTTAGCCAAGTTGATGGTATCCCATTTGACGGCCTGGCACTGGCGCGACCTAGCCCTGGCGCGGCCTGGCACTGGCGCGACCTGGCACTGGCGCGAGCTGGCAGCCTAGCACAGGCACAACCTAGCAGCCTGGCATAGGCACTGACCTGGCGGCCTGGCCCAGGCGCAACCTGGCAGCCTGGCACAGGCGCGACCTGGTGGCCTAGCACAAGCACCGACTTGGCGGACTGGCCTAGGCACGACTTGGCAGCCTGGCACAGGCGCCGACCTGGCGACTTGAAAAATGTGCTTGCCAACGAAATCGACCTGCATATCCAAACACTCCCACGATCCTTGGAAGTTGGCCCACGTGCCGAACGATCCGGAGGCTGGTCAACGTGCATGGCGGTTACCTCCATGAATCTCGAACCACTTAGACGACCTCGCAAAAATCTCGGATATGGTGCGTGAAGCCCACGCCAAACAATGCCTATATAAAGGCACCAACCCTAGAAGCAAAGGAGTAAGGCAGCAAGTAAACAATTTCTAGATCTCAGACTTTGTGATTTTTAGCTCGTAGTATATTATGAGAGTATTGACTTAAGCATCAGAGCGACCTCGCCAGGTTAGCCACCCCGGGTCCTCTGACATTTGATTCCTTACAGGTCTTTAAAGAGCAACGAAGCTCATCAATGCAGCTCGCCACCTGGTCAGCCCACAGGCAGCTCCACTTCGGCCTCTGAATCATCGGCCACTTGGAAATAAACCAAATGACGAGGTACTTATCCAAAAAATCGATACTTAACCAAAAATTGATTCTTGATATTCTAGACTCTCTCAGTTTGAAATGATAAATGTGATGAATGACGTGCTCGCTTGCCATCGGAGGGGGACAGAAAAATTTCTATCCATAGGGAACAGACGATGCGAGCTCGATACTCTTTACAGTAAATCATGAGGAATAAAAAACCACGAAAATTAATGCAAGAGAAGAACAAAGGAAAGGATTGATAGATGAATGTAGCCGGCGACATCGGTACTTGCAGATTTACACAATTACACTGGCTTGCTCATTATTCACTTCATGCACCAGAAAAAAACAACAAACGATGAAATAACCACTCCACCTTCTCTACTAATTAGCTTTAAATATTATATTATTTGGAGTATTAGCTGGTGGGATTTTGTTTTGGTTTTCACCTCAATCATTTGGGGCGAACATCAATCGACATGTAGTAAAAAGGAATGCGATATGGTTTGATTTTTTATCCTTGTGATATGATGTGAGGACTGAGGAGTCGTGCCCATGATCAGGGTGTCTGCTAGGGGGTAGGTTTGACCGGAAGAAGCTTTTCCATTTCACTCCGACTCCGAGACCAACAGTATGAGACTTATTTTTGACTTGGAGTCACTTCTGTACTGTTCCCGCCATCTCCATCTTATAGCCTTTAAACTGTGCAAAGTGCAGGCTGCAGACGCGGTTATGGTCCCTACTTCTTAGGACAGGCAGTCATCTCAGTGACTGGTTATATATAAGGAGTGATTGAAGAGTAGAAAATCGAGAAGCTATAGGGAGCTTAACAACCTATAGCTTGGATTTCTCCAGGAACTATGGGTGTTTCTGCAAAATGGGTTTATGTGTTTCTGCTCCTATTGACCATTACTTCCAACATGTTTTTATTCAATCAAGGAGACGAGGATATTGACGATAATGGGTTCGAAAGTGGAATGTTTGGTAATGATGATTGTCGATTTAGAGGTTGGCGGGCCTGTGGAGGTCGTGGTGGCGGGGGGCGAGGACTTGGAGGAGGAGGAGGCGGTGGTGGTGCTGGTGGGGATGGCGGTGCTGGTCATGGTGAGGGCTTTGGTGCTGGAGGTGGTGAGGGAGGCGGCGCTGGGGGAAGTATTGGAGGTGGTGGAGGCTTCGGGGCCGGGGGTGGTGGAGGTGGTGGTACTGGTGGTGGGTCGGGTTATGGAAAAGGATTCGGAGCTGGGGTTGGTATAGGTGGCGGTACTGGAGGAGGCATAGGAGGAGGTGGCGGTTTTGGCGGTGGTGGGTCAGGTCACGGTGCAGGATTTGGAGCTGGCGGTGGAGTAGGAAGTGGTGCGGGGGGAGGCGCTGGAGGTGGTGGTGGTTTTGGTGGCGGTGGAGGAGGTGGTTCCGGTGGTGGACATGGTCATGGTGGTGGGTTCGGTGGTGGTGTAGGAGGTGGAAGTGGTGGTGGAGGTGCCGGAGGTGGTGGCGGTTTCGGGGGAGGTGGTGGTGAAGGGTCCGGTCTGGGTGGTGGTTTTGGTGCAGGTGGGGGTGTAGGAGGTGGAGCTGGTGGTGGTTCAGGGGGTGGTGGAGGTTTTGGTGGCGGAGGTGGTGGAGGTGTTGGTGGCGGATCTGGTCATGGTGGTGGATTTGGTGCAGGTATTGGTGGTGCGGGAGGTGGTGGAGGATTTGGAGGAGGAGGTGGTGGTGGAGGCTCCGGAGGTGGGTCAGGTCATGGCAGCGGTTTCGGTGCGGGGGCTGGTATAGGTGGGGGTGCCGGTGTCGGCATTGGAGGGGGTGGAGGTTTTGGTGGTGGCGGAGGTGGAGGGATTGGTGATGGACATGGAGAAGGCAGCGGGTTTGGTAGTGGCGGGGGTGCAGGTGGCAGTGCTGGCGGGGGTGCAGGTCTGGGTGGTGGTGGGGGTGGGGGTGCTAGTCTGGGTGGTGAGCATGGTATAAGCGGTGGATTTGGCATAGGCGTTGGCATAGGCTTCGGGTTTGGAGTTTCTAGCGTCGGAGAGGGTGGTGGCGCCGGTGGCGGTGATGGAGGAAACTAAAATTGACCTTCTTCATTTTGTACGTTGCATTTGGACAATGGGTTGCAAGCCAAAGTTCGTATATGGATGAAGGCATATCACAGTGTAAAACGAGGGAATTAATCCAGTAAATTTTGGGATTTGGTGAAGGCTTTGATTGGAACCTACACATTTGAATGTAGTAGCAATAATTACTGTTAATCTGCTGCTTTTTCTTCAGAAAAATGTATTGATAAAGTGTTAATACATGGTCTTATTAATTCCCTTTATCCGTGAATTAATTCCTTGTGATTAACATTCAAATTGAATCGTTTCTCTGCCCCCAAGACCCAACTCCAGTCTCAGACTTAATGTTTGCTGGTAAAGATACACAAATGCAACCTTCCAATATCTTTTGGTCGATTAGCTTTGAAGATAATAAACCACCAAAATGATTCTCATTTTTTTTAATAGTTTTATAGATCCGATTTCGTTGATTAATCATATATTATGGAAGTGTTTCATACTCATAGCGTTGTGGCTTGGATGATTTGATTCTGTTCACGGGTACATAACAAGAAACCCATCATCAGCGATGGATGGAAGAAGAATGTATTGATCACGAATTTCACGAGCACGTAAATATAAATATATGCCAATTGACATAGCGTTTGGGATGCAATTATTTCCCATGAAATAAAGTATATAATATATAGGTATCGAGATATTATCAATGCAAGACTGTCGCCGATCTTGGCATCAGCATTTTATCAACATTAAGCGGAAACAGTCATTAAAGCATTTGCATGGAGTTAAGAGTCTTAGACACTTTGTCATGCTTTATGTTGAAGTGATCAGCATTCAGCAGTATTTATATTGCCAACGCTTTATATTAATTAAGCATCTAAAGTTTTGTGAAAATTCTCCATTATTACTTCCTATTTTGGGCTAATGCCATTTTGGTCCCTGAATTTTAAAATGCGAGAATGTAATATCCAAACTTAAAAGATGTAAATACCTTTCGAGTGTGATCTAATTCTTTTTATCAACTATTTAAAAATTGATAAAAAATTAATAGTCTCATATCTTTGTCTCTTTTATTTAATAAAATTGGGATCACCACAATGCGTGAGACATGACCTTGACTTTTTTTAAATAGAAGAGGTAAGGATTCGGGACTGTCAATATTTAGATGATTGATAGACAGAATTAAATGACATTTGAAGGGAATTCTTTTCAAATACCACCTAGCAGCTAGTTAATAATAGATACATTTTGAAAATTCAGGTATTGAATTATCTCATTTTAAAGTTGGAGGGCCAAAATAGCACTTGACCCAAAATACAAGGTACTAATAGAAACTTTTTCCTAAATTTTATATTTTTTATTAAAATTTGATAAATGCACAAAGAAGATAAGACAAATTCAAGAAAATTGTTTGTTTTTCTCGTATTCCAATGTAACGTGTCCCACATCTCGCCCTGTTCTTTTGTTTGCATCTACGTACGATTGCCTCCTCAAGATTTTAAGAATAAAAGAAGCAATTATTTCAACAAATAAATTATTGGAGCGACCATTCTCCATCAGTAGCAAGTACTCGGTAACACTTCATCCGGGCGGGTGAAGTCGCATGTTGGATCAGACTAGCACCAATAGCACTAACCCAAGGTCAGAGTGGGGCTTCATATTTGGCTGTGCTCCCGAAAACATAAGGCCAGTCAATACCAGGCTCCACCCTAAGGTTAAAGTCTGTTTGCTTGTACATTAAGTTAAGTGAGAGTAAAAATAGGTTGGATATAACTTGTGGTTTACTTTTATTTCATATTTGATTTTGTTTTATTTGCCTATCTTAGGGCGGATTTTCCCCGGTAATAAATGCATGTGGGTTGGGTTGAGGAAATATTTTTGCCCAACGTTCAGTCGACAGTCTTCACTGTTCAACTTCTTCGCTCGCAGAGGTAGAATCAGATTACCAGAACTGCAGTTCGCAGTCGCAGTGTCGCACAACCTTCGCACACCACAACCGCCGACCGCCAGGCGTCGCCGCCACCGTAGAACCGCCGACTACCGACCGCCGATCGCCGTAGCACAGTGCACAGAGTTGCGGCTCAGTCTGCAAGAGACCATCGTTTTTGTAGATTGAGAAACTAAGAAGTAAGAAGTCTCGTTCGTCTGCCGACCGCCGGGCGCCGCCGCCACCGTAGAACCGCCGGCCGCCGACCACCCTAGCACAGAGCAAACCAGTTTTTGTTTTCAAAACAGCTCTAACTGGTACTTTTCCTTCATGACTTCTGTTGCTTCTTCTGTTGGAAAGGTTTCCCTCTAAATGTGAATCGAAGTATGCTTTTACCTCGTATCATATCAAGAGCCTGCACCTGCACTCATACAAAATATTATTTAAAACTAGAAGAAGTTGCTTCTTCTGTTTTTATGTTTGTCTTTTGTGGTCTTTCGACCATTTAGTAATCTCGTCAAAGCCGATTGGCCGAGGAAGGATGGAGTCGACGGACAAACAGAGAAGACTGAGAGAAGTGCGGTTTAGGGTCTTCAGACCTCACAGAGGTAGAGAGAGAGAGAGAGAGAGAGAGAGAGAGTGAGAGAGTGTCAGGGTGACGAGTACAGTAAAAGTGCAGTAAAACTCAGAGTAATTCAAAACAAAAACAGGAGCCATCCCTATTTGGGACAGTGGTGCTGGGCACAACTCAGAGGGTTAGATATTGAGAGGGTTGGCTCTTGAAACTCAGAGTTTCAAGAGGGACTGTGGTGCAGTAAAACTCAGAGTTCATGGTTAGATATTGATGGATTCCAAAACCATCAAGGCTCGGAGTTCATGGTTAGATATTGATGATGATATTTCAATCTCCTAAGGTGTGGGAGAAAAAAATTTATGCCCGATTAATCTTTTCATCATGTTGAGTTACACAAGTCCTAGTATGATTGCTTTAGAATAACTTTAAATCAATTGCTTTTCTTCCAAACTTAAACTTATTAGCATACGAGTAGCTTGAGCAAAACTTTGACTTTTCCTTTGATTATAGACTTCTTTATACTAAATAGCTAATTGAACCTTGGAGCCACACACAACCTCCTTTCATCTTTCTTTTCCTTGCAAATCTCTTTGAACCATAACACTTATATGTCGAATAATACTTGAACATACAACATTACTCAACACTTTTAAGAAAAGAGATGGGAACATTGAGACTAACCCTAAAGAGATAGATTAGTATGACAGGCTAAACTGATTGTTCTGAGATGTTGGACCATCTTGTATGGTCAATCATTAACCTGTAGGAGACTGTATACTACTGGTTAAGAGCACAGGGCAGTTTTTTTTTTTTTTTTCTTTTTTGAAGTTTCCTAACAAGTAATGGTCTTGTAGCAGTGGGGAAAATAGGTTTCACTAATAGAAGTAATGAAGTAGAGCTGCAAGCTATCATTCATGGACTAGAGCTAGCATATGTCAATAGGGTGTAGAAAATAAATACTTTCATTGCGAAGAAATTTCCAATCATGTACAAAGACTGCAATAGTATTTTCTACTATGCTTTTTACAATTTCTATGGTCATGGCATCTCTCTTAGAGCCGAATGCATGGTTATCAGTGAAGGGCTTATATTACCTTATGCTTCTCTCTTTGTAGCCTTAATGCATGGTCATGGCATGGCATCTCTTAGTAACCTTAATGATTTTGTATTTGTTATCATCAAAAAATATAAGACGAACAACCTCCCCTTTTTTATGATGACAAATTATTGGATGGAATTATGGAAATATTAAAATGTTTAACATATTATGAAGCACGTTAATCAGCAAGCAAAGTTTAACGTCATATTTAGATTTTTCTTATGAAGTTCCCCCTTGGGAGAATACATGCATGCTCCAAGCCAAAAGGTTGTTTAGTGAGATATTTGATAGTTTTCTTCTTTGTTCGGATTGTAATAGTTTCCTCTTGTTTGCAGATCACCGCGTGGACACCGTTCAAGGAGTCTTAGGAGGAGGTACTGAGCCTGGGCTAAGGTGTAGCCCGTGTAGGGCCATTTGTTTTGTGGTTGTGGGATTGGAAATTAGAAGCACGATGAAGGATTAAGGTTGATACTTGTGAGTTGTGGTCCCTTGGTTGTGGCATTTTTTTTTAATGCGGGACTAGCTTGTAGTTTTTAACCCATTCTTAATTTTTCTTTGTATTCATCTTCTTTAAAACATATGGTGTTTGAGTTAAATTAAATACTTAGAATTTGTTGGTAAATTGCCTGAATTCAGTGCTCAGATGCCAATTTTCTTCATCACAGACTTGTCCACTAATGTAGCGCAATCTGGTCACTCCTAGCTGGCAAGGGCCTCGCTACTATCTGGCAACGGGCAACACTTAAGAAGGAGAAGAAGACGAAGGATTCCAGGGGAGCTCGCCCGGCGGGAATACTCCGATGCTTAAGTTAGAACTCGGCGGAAAACTGAGAGAATTGCGAAGTAATTCTTGTCAGATAAGAAGTTTCCTGAAGACTCCGGGTTACTCAATAGTGAGCTCCTTTGTAGCGAGCTCCAATAGCGGCTGCCTTGCAGCAAGCCATTCTGCAGCGAGCTGTTCATGCTGGGTTTTCAGTGAGCTCATTACGCCGAGTTGTGGCCAACCTGTCATGCTGAGCTGTCATTTACGTCGAGTCATGTCCACGTGTCCCCTAGTTAGGAGCTCGGGTCAAATCACCCCCCATCAATTGCCCCCCACTCCTCGAGCTAAGGGTCTTGCTCTAGCGCGGGGAGTTCATGAAATGACGGGTGGATTTGACCCAAAATTCAAACTAGGTTGACCTACCGTATGAAGTATACGCGTGGATGTTAGGCGATTTCTAGATTTCTGAGGTGCCAAAAAACGTGCCAAGTTGCCTTTAGTTTCGGAAGACGTGCAGCCGGTTTGATTATGAGCCGTTGGATTCGCTTTAATCGGAGCCGTTGGCTTTCAGGCATAGTGGCTATAAATAGGAGGGCCCCAGGCCTCATTTTTTATGCCAACTTGCCTTGCTTTCGGTTTTGAGGTCGCGCCT